AAAGCCTAGAAAAGGAAACACTTTGGAGACAAAGCAAATCAGCGGTGTCCTGGGTCTGCGAATGGGGGTGGGGAATGAGTGCAGATTCACGCAAGGGAATTTGGGGGGCATGACCCTAGTGTTTTAAAACCGGGTTTGTGGTTGCCTAGCTCTGGAAATTTGCTAAAATTTTTCAAGGTACCATTCACACCATTACTGTGTGTGAATTGTGTATGGTATATAAATCATACCTCAGGTACAGCTGTAAAAAAAAGAAAGTGTGTCTAAAATACAATCAATCTTCATTTGTTACACTGTTGAGTGTGCTGTAATCTTTACAGATAAGAAGGTTTACATTTTGCCCAATTTCTGTCCCTCTCATGCAGTTTAAGCCAGCGCTCTTTCCGTGTGTACAGCTTCCCACCCTGCTCCGCCTCTGCTCCCAAGTCCTCGTTCCTCACACTGACCCTGCCTGTCTGGGATTTCCTTTTGGCATGTTGGGCACAGAGGTTGATTATAGACTTCTCAGCATCACAGATGCCTCTTTGTATGCATTTTACTCTTCTAGTTTTGTCTTGTTCTTTTCCATGACCTCATTTATCAGAAATGATTAGCACATTCTAATGCTTAATAATCCAGCTCTTCACTTGCACAGGTGACTCCTGAGAGGCAATTAATCACTTCTGGAATCTGCATTAATAAAGGCAAAAGTATTGTGGATTTATTTTTTCCTGTGTTACATCTATTTGTATCTCCAACAGTTCATTTTTAAGTGGGAAAAACAAGCAACAATTTTAATATATTGCTGGACTCAGTTTGCTAATATTTTATTACGGACTTTTGCATCTATGTTCAAGAGTAACACTGGCCTGTCCTTTACTTCTGTATATAATGTACCATTTTAATTCGTTAACTTTTCAGCTTTTTTTTTTTTTTCTTTTAGTGATTTTCTTAGTGCTTGCTCTAGGGATACAATGTACATCTCTGACATTTTAGGTTAATGTTGGCCTCATAAACTGAGTTAGGAAGCTTTCTTGCTTCTCTAATTCAACTTCATCAATGTATATAAGTTTAAATACATTATCTATTTCTTCTTGAGAAATAGCCTTGCTTAAAAAGTGTAATCTAGAAATTTCTCCATTTCATTTATTTTTCAATTCATTATTAAAAAAAATTTTTTAGTAGCTTTATTGGAGTATAATTGCTTTACAATGCTATGTTAGTTTCTGCTGTATAACAAAGTGAATCAGCTATATGTGTACATATATCCCCATACCCCCTCCCTTTTAAGCCTCCCTCCCACCCTCCCTATCCCACCCCTCTAGGTGGCCCCAAAGCACGGAGCTGATCTCCCTGTGCTATGCAGCAGCTTCCTACTAGCCATCCATTTTACATTTGGTAGTGTATATATGTCAATGCTACTCTCTCACCTCGTCCCAGCTTCCCCTTACCCTCCTATGCCCTCAAGTCTGTTCCCTACATCTGTGTCTTTATTCCTGCCCTGCCGCTAGGTTCATCAGTACCGTTTTTTTAGATTCCGTATATGTGCATTAGCATACAGTATTTGTTTTCTCTTTCTGACTTACTTCACTCTGTATGACAGACTCTAGGTCCATCCACCTCACTACAAATAACTCAGTTTCGTTTCTTTTTATGGCTGAGTAATATTCCATTGTATATATGTGCCATGTCTTCTTTATCCATTCCTCTGTTGATGGACACTTAGGTTGCTTCCATGTCCTGGCTATTGTAAATAGAGCTGCAATGAACATTGTGGTACCTGACTCTTTTTGAATTACGGTTTTCTCAGGGTATATGCCCAGTAGTGGGATTGCTGTGTCGTATGGTAGTTCTAGTTCCAGTTTTTTAAGGAACCTTCATACTGTTCTCCACAGTGGCTGTCTCAATTTACATTCCCACCAACAGTGCAAGAGGGTTCCCTTTTCTCCACACCCTCTCCAGCATTTATTGTTTGTAGATTTTTTGATGATGGCCATCTGATGGGTGTGAGGCGATACCTCACTGTGGTTTTGATTTGCATTTCTCTAATGATTAGTGATGTTGAGCCTCTTTTCATCTGTTTGTTGGCAATCTGTATGTCTATTTTGGAGAAACGTCTATCTCCATTTCATTTAAATTGTCTAATTTGTTGGCATAATTGTGGTAGGGTACATAATGATGCCCCTCCTTCATTTCTGATTTTGGCAGTTTTAGTCTTCTCTCTCTTTCTCTTGGTCAAGCTAGCTAAAGGTTTACCAAATTAGAGCTAATTTTTGGCTTAATTGATTTTCTCTGTTTTTCTGTTATATATTTCATTGATTTGTGCTCTGATCTTTAGTATTTCTTTTATTCCACATAGTTCAGATTTGATATTCTTTTGCTTCTCAATGTAGAAACTTAGATCATTGATTTAATATCTTTATTCCTTTCTAACATGTTTAAAACTGTAAACTTCATTCTAACCAGTATGTAGCTGCAGTCAAAGTTTTTGATATGTTGTGTTTTCATTTTCATTCCATTGAAGGTATTTTCTAATTTTCCTTATTTATTTTTTGACTCATGGGTTATTTTAAAGTGTGTTGTTTAATTTCCAAATATTGGGGGAATTTCCCCAATTTTTTTTCTCGATTTCTAATTTCATTCCATTGTTCTGGGAGGTGAGTCTTGTTTTATGACTTAGCATATGGCCTGTCCTGGAGAATGTTCTATATACATTTGAAAAGAATGTTCATTCTTTGTTGTCGGTGAAATACTTTATATGTGACAGGTCATGTAGTTAATACTTGTCTATTTCTCTTTTCAATTCTGTCCCTTTATGTTTCATGTAATTTGAAGATCTGTTGTTAGCTGTATATATACATTTATAATTGTTTTATTCTCTTGATGTATTGACCTTTGTCATGAAATGGCCCACTTCCTGTCTAGTAATATTTCTGTTCTTAAAATCTATTGTTTTTAATATTACTATAGCCACTCAAGCTCTCTGTGATCAACTGTTTGCATGGTATATCTTTTTTATTTAAATTTTTAAATTGTAGTTAATTTACAACGTTGTGTTAGTTTCAGGTGTACAGCGAAGTGATTCAGATTTTATATATATATATATATATATAAAATCTGAATATATATATAAAATATATATATATGAAATACATATTTTATATATATTCTTTCCATTATAGATTGCAAGACATTGAATATAGTTCCCTGAGCTACATACAGTAGGTCCTTGTTGTTTACATATACACGCTACTATATATAAAATAGATAAACACCAAACTCCTAATTTATCCCCCAACCCCCACTATCTCTTTTGGTAACTATGTCTGAGAGTCTATTTCTGTTTTGTAAATAAGTTCATTTATATCATTTTTTTAGATTCCACGTACAAGTAGTGTCATATGATTTTTGTCTTTATCAGACTTACTTAATATGATAACTTCTAGGTCCATCCATGTTGCTGCAAATGGCATTATTTCATTCTTTTCTGTGGCTGAGTAATATTCCATTATGTATATATATCACATCTTCTTTATCCATTCCTCTGTTGATGGACATTTAGGTTGCTTCCCTGTCTTGGCTATTGTAAATAGTGCTGCAGTGAACGTTCAGGTGCATGTATCTTTTCAAATCATGGTTTTCTCTGGATATATGCCCAGGAGTGGGATTGCAGGATCATATGGTAACTCTATATTTAGTTTTTTAAGGAACCTCCATATTGTCCTCCATAGTGGCTGCACCAATTTACATTCCTCTCTATGATCAACTGTTTGCATGGTATATCTTTTCCTGTTATATTCAACCTGTTTGTGTCTATGAATCTAAAGTATACTTGACTCTTATAGACAACATATAGACAAATCATGCTTTTTATCCAGTCTGACAATCTCTGCCCTTTGACTGGGGTATTTAGTCCATTCATATTTAATGTGATACTTGATATAGCTGTATTTTCATTAGCCATTTGCCACGTTATATGCCATTGTTTTTGTTTTTTTTGATACCTTGTTTTTATTTCCTTTTGCTATATACCAGGATGTGGTATTGCTGCAGCATATGGTCCTATATTTAATTTTTTGAGCAACCTCTACAGTTTTTCTGTAGTGTATATGCCATTTTTTTATACATTTTTTTTGGTCCATCTGTTCCTCCTTTATTGCCCATTTTTATTAAAATCTTTTAGTGTACATTTAAGTCTCTTTAAAACTATAGCTAAAACGTCAAAAAAGATACTTTCTTAAAGGTTTCTCTAGGGATAACATGTATCATTAACTTATCGGGTTAATACTGACTTAACTCCAACAAAATTAACCTTGCCCCAATAAAGCTCCACTTCTTCCCCTTGCCTTTGTTCTATTGTCATCATATATATTGCATTTATCTATGTTATAAAGTCAACAATATAGAGTTATATTGTTTCAATCTTGTGAAAGAAATTAAGAGAAAAATATCTGTATGTATATATACACATCCATATATTTTATGTTCATACGCAGACACATTTTTTTCCCCTCTCATATACACACATATGTGTATATATACACACAAATATGTATATACATAGTCTTTTCCAGTGTCCTTAATTCCTTCCTAATTCCAGGTACCACATGGTGCCATTTTCTTTCAGCCCAGAGAATTTTCTTTAGTTTTTTTAAGGGAAGGTCTGTTAGCAAAGAATTCTCTCACTTTTTGTTTATCTGGGAATGTCTTTATTCCACTTCCATTTGGGAAGGATAGTTTTACTGGATATAGAATTTCTGGTTAACTTTCTTTTTTTCCTTCTGTCTTCAGGCCTCTTATTTCTAATGAGAAATCAGCCAGTAACATTTTAATTTCCATTTTCATTAGGTTTTTTGTTGCTTTTAAGATTTTCCCTTTGTCATTGTTTTTCAATGATTTGACTCTAACATGTTCATGTGTGATTCTTTTCCTGATTATCCTACTTGGGCCTTTTTGAGTTTCTCAGATCAATAGATTGTTTCTCATTACATTTTTTGAGAAAATGTATTTCTTCAAAAAAATGGTTTTCGTCCCTTTCTTTCTCCCTTCTCTTTTTAAAAAGGACCCCCATTAAATGTATGTTGGTATACTTTGTTTTACCACTTGTCTTTGAGGCTGTGTTCATTTTTCTTCAGTCTTTTTTCTGTTCTTTGGATTAGGTAATTTCTGTTGATCGGCCTTCAAATTTACTGATTGTTTCTTTTGCCATCTCAAATCTACTGTTATGTCCATTTAGATAATTTCTCATTTCTTTTTTTGGGTTTTACAACTATAGAATTTTCATTTGGTTCTTTATCATAGTTTCTATCATTCTGTTGACTTGTTGCCATTTGTTGAGTTAACGTAATCATATTTTCCTTTGACGACAGTTTCCTTTAATTCTGTGAATATAGTTTTTTTTTTTTTAATTAGCTGCCTTGAAGTCTTTGTCTGTCTGTCAAACCCAACATCTGGTCCCATTCAGAGTCCGTTTCTGTTGATCAGAGTCCGTTTCTGTTGATCAGAGTCCATTTCTGTTGACTACATTTGTTCCCTGAGTTCAATGTTTCTTCACGTGTTTCACAGTAATTGATTGGAAACTGGTTATTTTTAAATAATGTATTATAGCAACTCACAAATGTGTTTACTACTCTTTTTTAAAAACTAATTTGCCTGAACTTACACTGTGGAATCTTTCTCCCTAGAGTGTGTGGCTGCTCGTTTCTCAAGTTTTAGTTCTTATTTTTATTCTTTAGGATGACTTTCTAGAAGTCACTCCTGTGCCTGAATAACTTAGTAGTTAGTTTGTAATACAGGCAGAGATTGTGCTCAAACATCTCAAGCCCATAAAGCTTCAATCTGTGTGTGGATTGGAAAGGACATTCAAAGCTTCAGTGGGTTTTCAAACAAACATGCCTTGGCTTGTTAATTACTTTCATCCACTGTCGCGTGTACATGCACATAGCTTCCCAGTGGGCCAGAGAATTGTGGCCAGCTTCTCTAGCCCTGCTATGCTCTCTTATTTCCAGGGTATTAGGTATTAAACTTCTGATCAGTAATTCCTTCACCGTAACTGAGACTGCAACCTCAGGCCAGTGGAGATGCAGGTTTTTCTTGTTTGTTTCCTACCCAAATTTGACAATTTTAGCTGACATACCTGTGGGTTTTCATCTCTCCCACAAATCAAGTCCACCCCCTCTGACAGCAAACCTGTTGTTGTTTTTTTCCAGCCAGGCCCACACTGGTGAAACTACTGCTGCTCTCTCCAACCAA